CATTGGATGACAGGAACAAGCTCAATCCCCCACAGTCAAATGGCTTGCCAACACTCTAGGCCAAAGCTCACATATGAAAAATGTTCTCTTGGAACCAGAGGGTGACCTGTCACGGGGAACCATAGCCGAAGGAGGAAATAGAAGGAACACTGTCAGGAGAGGAGGCGGGGGGGAAAAAAGTTACTCTTCATGAGCCAATACCACTGCACTGTATAAACATTTCTAGTGCAACAACATTGGAACACAGCAACCTTGATATCTGTGTGTGTGTGTGTGTGTGTATGTATATATATATATATATATATATATATATAAAAAAGTAGGGCAAGACAAACTCATGGATAGGTCACAGTATTGAGTGTTGTTATGACGGAATCCTTTTACAGAAAGGATATCAGAGCTATGGAGAGAGTAAAGGGTGGATGAACTTGAGATGACACCAGAGATTTAGCATAATTACAATTAAAAAACTAAAAACACTGGGGCAGTAGTCAATGGAGGAGAGAAGTTTAAGATGTCAACTAATTGACTCCATGAAATTATGAAAGAATTTGACATGGTAAATAGTGAAAAATTATTTCTAATGATATGTGAAATGGGAGCAAGGGGGCAGCAATCGTTCCTAGTACAAATTTGTTTCACACAAAAGGTTTATCAGGATGTAGGGCAAGTTATTTTGCAAGGCCACTGAAGCAATATCAATTGACGTAAAAAGGAATGGGAAAAAACATACGAAGAATGAAGACATAAAAAGCATAGCGGAAAGAGCAGAGACATGAGATTAGAGCAGATTGCTCCAGAGGGGAACTGGGTACCCCAGCAGAGCTAGCAATCCTTTCAAAATAATAATTTGGTAACTCAATCCACGACTATTTGTGGGACACTGCTGTGCGCAATTGGCTGCCATGTTTCAGCCATAAAATATACAGTCAATTCAGTTTACGGTATATTCTGTGAAGCGCTTTAAGATGCCTCAAAGACGTGATAAGGCACTTTATCAAATGTAAGGATTATTATTATTATGAGCTAAACAAAAAATAAGTGCATTTATACAGCATTAAAATGTCTCAAACCATTTTACAGTAATCACTGTCAACTGGAATTATTACTTATAAGGCAAGGGCAATTTACAGCCAGACACTTTTTTTAAAAAAAAACAGGATAGCTAACAACTGGAACACATCACCAAGAAGTGTAGTAGAGGCTCGGGCACTGGACTGATTTTAAAAAAAAACAGCTCAATGCTGTGATGGGAAGTTTGGTATTCTGGAAGAATGATATTGAACAGGCTTCATCATCCAAACCTCTCTTGTGAAATGTGGAGATCATTTTGTGCATAGCAAACAGCCTTGAAATAAATAACCAAGTAATCTAAAGAATTGTTGACCCTGGGCAGTGGGAGAAACTCTTTTTAAACAACCTTCATTTCTGATTGCAGAAAATCAGAATTTGATCAAAATAAAGTACCAGAAAGAAACCACTAGCAGAACAGACCAGTGTTAAACAGGGTCTGGCAATCTAGTGAAACCCAGGGAAGAAAATAGAGCCAGATAGTTTATATAGAGTCAATACAGAAAGTCACACAACCAAGTAGATCTTACGTTACAGTACGTCCATATTCACTGGCTACCTGACCTTTACATAGCGGTATGGGTGTACCAAGGATGCTAAATGAGCAATTACGAAATTATGGAGGTTGGTTGCACACTACAAGTATTTTCCACCAGGGAATAAGAGATTATCAGATCTCTCAAGGCCACGTTTCAGTTCTTTAACAACTTGCATCTCATAAAAAGCTCTTAGTAAATAAGGCTTCAAGGGAACAGCATGTTCTAAAGTACTGTTCATCACAACAAGAAATACAGGTAACTTCTGAGCTTGTACCTTTACTTCTAACAAACAGTCTTAATGTTAAGCCTATTCTGAAGTACCCTTTCACCTAATAAAACTACAGTAATAGTAGAAATCCCTGACAGCCAGGTGGGTAAATGTACTGCCCAGTATAGCATTAAGCCATACAGCCCAGATTCAATCCCCAGTCCATTCTGTATTAGCTGATCTCATCCGAGGAAGCAGACAAGCACTAAGGTTGGCATAATGTCCCTTGAGATTTTTGGGGTGACAGCGTGGGGGGACAGCCATTCAGACAGATATCTTAGTAGGTGAGCTTGTGTGGATAACGATAAAAATTTTAAGGCACTCTGTCAAATGCAAGGATTATTATTATTAGATACAACACCTTATCACATTGTCAAGACGTCTCGAAACACTTAACAGTAAATCTTGTGAAATGTAGTGATTGTGTATTGATAGAAAATAAGGACAGGGTTAGACCGAGCTTTGAATACCGCCCCTGGCAAGATGGTCTTTCCCTAAACCCTCTTACTCCACAAATTGCAATTATATTTACAGTCACTACACTTCAGTATATTCTGTGAAACACTTTGAGACATCTGAAAAACGTGATAAGGTACTATATCAAACGCAAGGATTATTATTATTATGTAGCACCCTTCTTCTCACAGGATAGTCTCAGAGGGCTACATAGTGGGGATGTACGCCAATAAGGCAGAAGGTAAAGAACTATCTTCCTCTTTTTTTAAAAGAAACTTTATTCTAGTGGCTATCAAATTAATTTTAAATGCAGTTTTTCATATAAAGGTTCTTTTTTTAAAAAAAGGAAAAATCATCTAACATCGTATTTGTCATTGAATTCTTTGACTTATCTGACAAATGAGGGGCATGCCCTGGAGCTCAGTGGAGGTCATCATCATCAAACAAGAGACAAGGCCCACGATTTAATCAAACAGGAAAAAGTAAACACCTTTCAACAGGTAGGTACAACAAAGCAAAGAGCACCTCCACAGCTGCAAGCTTATCTGGCTCAGGCAGAGAAACAGTAGCTTCAGACATCACAGGGAGTATAACGCTACCTTGGCAATTGGGACATTTACAACATTAATCTATTTATGAGCACATCTCAGTCTCTAATCGAGTAACTCATCTTAATTATACACAGCCTTATCAGGACTCCTTCAAATTTGCAGCAAAATGCATTTAAAAAATTTTGCGGAATTGTGGAACTAAATCAAAAAAAGTTCTGAACAGAGTTTAAATAATCTTCGTTCAAGCAACTGATTACAATGCAAATTGCTCGTATACAAAGAAAGGGAAAGCACTGGACAGAACTGATGCCATCATTAAGGCAGCTCAGGGTGCAAGGCATACTCACAAGTGAAGCGATTCCAGTGACTTTTCACTGTATATGTATACAGTGTACAAGGTATAGCACTGACAATTTTGCCGGGGATATTACAATTGTATTTTGTCCACGATATTGGAGGTGTGCATGGGGGAAGCGAAACGTGAAATTAAACTGAAGTGCATTTTTTAAAAATGGTACAAGAATCACCTACAAAAACAGTCACTACATTTTGAGGAACCCGCTTTGACACAGTTTAGCATGATAAACTACATCAAACGCAACGTTTAATATTTAAAGTCAAGCCTTGCAAATCCCTCCAGGCAGTTTGAAACGCAACAGGCTGCCTCTTCTCCTGGGCCAACCGAGCCTGGACTCAGCAGTCTCAAGCTCATAAAACAGCCCCTTTTAATTACCAGCAAATTTCCATAGAACTGAGCCACTACCCCCAACGTAAGGAAAGACAAGTTAAATGTCTTTAGGAGCAGAGCAGCCAGATTAGAGTGCAATTCGGCTGAGAGACATTTTTTACAGTGCTCACATACACCAAAATCCGGGGAAGGGCAAGATCAACAACTCTTGGCACAATCCGAAGCAAGTTACTTTCAGTGCTCAGCTCTCAAGAGCCAGAGGACTGTAGTCTTGACCAGTGAATGAACAGCACTCGGCTATCACTATTTGCACATCAATCTGAATGGGCTCACGAGAGCAGCCAATGAGCCATCACTTGAATAAAGTTGCCCTTGAATTACAATAGAACAGATCGTTCAATTTGGCAAAGATCAGGTAGGTCACTCTGTCCAAGAAAATTAGATGCCATAAAATGCAGTGTGGTGTGTGACAATGCTGTGGACTAAAGAGTGAGAACAAGAGGCACTAGCTGGAAGAGAATTTCATAGAACTATAGAAATTTACAGCACGGAAGGCCATTGAGCTCATCGTGTCTGTGCTGGCTCTTTCAGGAGCTATCCTTTCAGTCCCATTTACCTGCCTTTTCCCACAGCCTTATAGTTTACTCCTTTTTAGTTATTTAGCGAGTTCTTTTTTGTAAAGCTAATATGGATTCTGCCAACCATTCCATATCCTTCAAATAAATAGTGTTAACAGAAACTTGACTTTGGATAGCACAGGACTGGAAATTAAATATACAGAATACAGAGATAGAGAAGGGTTACAAAGGGGTGTCAAAGAATTACACGGAATGATGCATCACGGAAACAGGCCATGCCAATGTTTATATTCCACGCAAGCCTCCACCTGTCCCATTCTTCCCTGGCTCAGGTGCCCGGCCAGCTGTGTGAGGCTGCTTTGAGACATCCTCCCGACATGAAAGGAGCTGTATAAATATAATATGTATGATTGTAATTATATTTTTATTACTGTATTCACTTAAATATATGAATGGGTAACAAAAATGTAATTTCACTGCATCCTCTCCTCCTTTGTGTTTTATACCCACCTGTGCAAAGCAGCACAAGAATAGCCAATCCTGAAACAAACGGGGATCCTCTGTTGACAAAGATGACAAATCCTCTCTCCCGTCCCTGAGCTACAACCCAGAGGCTCTCTCACAGCCATAAAGCAAAATGGAGAACAAGAGGACCAACCAATTTAATCAGTCATGCTAACACAAGAGTGAGGGCTGACCTAGATTTGAGAATCTATTATAGGCAGAAGCACAACAGTGCATCAGTAACTATGGCTGAATGGAAGCTCGATGCCAAAGGCACAATCTGTGTTCCCAAGTGCAAATCTGGTGAGATAAAAAGGAGGATTATATTCGTAGGCAGTGCCTTACCAGTTTCAGAAACCACTGTGATAATCGCTGGTTTGGATACTTTTGCAGGCTTGGATGATGAGGGGGATTTCTTAGGTTTCTTATCTGGAGGCAGCAACTCTGGTTCAGAATCTACATCACGACAACACAGGAGTGGAATTCATTAGGCTTTTGCTCAGTCAGCACAAGTGCAAAAACATAAGCCTGCTGAAGCAAGGTTTTGTTCCCATTCCAATTTCTCAGTTACCACGCCCTTCTTTTAGAGCAGTTTACTAAAAATGCTCCGTCTGGCCACCAGTCTCCCAGTCTTCAAAAACCTTCCAAGAAATAGATGTATTTAACCATGCCTTTGATTCATCCAAAAACTCTACTGCCCACATCCTTATCCACAGGAAACTCCCACTCTCCCCCATACTTGCCAGGTTCCACCAGCATCGACTCAAAGATCCTCACCTTTACCCCTCGTACCTCCCTACCTCTGTGATCTTCTCCACCCTCACTCTTCTGCTCATGCCCTCTGTTTGGAAAATCCAGGCCTGGTGATCTTACCTCTGTCCCCCACCGCTCCACCCCACCATTGGCAGCTATGCTTTCAGCCACTGTCTTCACCATCTGTAATTATCTCCGGCTCACTCTTTGGCTCCCCTCTAAATCTATATTCAAATGTTCCTTAAAAACCTACATCTTCAATTGTGCCTACAGTTTTCTCTCTTTCCCAACTCCCCTTGGTACTGGTGTCTAGTATCTATGAAGCACTGAGACATTACTCTACTGAAAGGATACTATATAAGCATAAGTTGTTGGTTACCATCATTAAATCTCTTGATTCCCTCCTCGGAATCGACCACTAAATTTATCGAGCATTTTGACCCCTTTTATGTGAAATACTCTATGTAGAATTATAGAATTGTACAGTACAGTATTTGCAACTTGTAGATGTTCATACACACACCAACTACAATTTAAAAAGCATTGTATCATTTCAAAACTCTTAAAGGCTAGTTCCACAGTGGCTCATTTGGTAAATGTTCCCATATTATGGTACCATAATACCGCATGGAGTCCTGTAACTCAGTAGTTAAGAGCATTTGCCTTGCAAGCAAGAGCCCTGGGTTCGCTTCCCGGCAGGGCGAAACCTTGGGCAAGTTTCCTTACTCCACACGCCTGATAATAATCACTCACGAAAAAAAAAATTGGTCACTTTAATCCACGACTGTTTGTGGGATACTGCTGTGCGCAATTGGCTGCCGCGATTCACCCACAAAATATACAGTCAATTCACTTCACAGTATATTCTGTGAAGCGCTTTGAGACGTCTAGAAGACGTGAAAAGCACTATATCAAATGCAAGGATTATTATTATTACCACTCAATAAAGTCTCGAAAGGTCCTAAACTCTGTCGCTGGTCTGTGTAGAGTCACCTTATCTCCACCCTCAACCACAGAACAATGTTCTGCCAGCATGGGTGGCGAAACCAGACTGTAAAAGGACTAGAAACAGGAACTGGACAAGCTCCAATCAACTAAAAATATTCAGATCATTAGAATGAGTGACAGACATCAAATGAGCCCTTGTGGGAAATTGAATGGCTAAATGGACCGATATCCTAGCCTGAAACTAACACTATAATAACAGGAATAAGTCAGTTCCCCAGGACCACTCAATCCTCCTCCACCGCCTCTCCTCCCACCTCAACCTTCAAAATTCTGTCCTTGACTGGTTCAGGTCCTACCTTTCACACCGCCACTTCATCTCTGCAAATTACTTCTCCTCCAGCCCCCGCACTGTCTCATGCAGTGTTCCTCAGGGCTCTGTCCTCGGTCCCCCCCTCTTCACCCTCTACAGGCTCCCCGTTGGTGACATTGTTTGCAGACATGGGGTCAATTTCCACATGTATGCGGATGACACCCAACTCTATCTCTCTGTCTCCACCCTCAACTCCAGGACTGCTGGCGTCCTGACCAACTGTCTGTCTGACGTTAAGCCCTGGACGAGGGACAATTTTCTCCAACTCAACGTCAGCAAGACTGAGACCCTCCCGATTGGCTCACACCAGCGCCTTCTCACGGCAGGCGATGGCAGCATCAGCCTTCACGGCTGCTCACTCAACCTCACTAAGCCAGTCAGGAACCTGGGTGTATTGTTTGACCCTGAACTGTCCTTTCTCCACCACATCCGCATCATGACCAGCACTGCCTACCACCACCTCTGCAACATTGCCAGACTCCGCCACTGCCTCACCCCTCAGGCTACCGAAACCCTCATCCAATGCATTCGTCACATCAAGGCTCAATTATGGAAACTCCCTCCTCATCGGCCTTCCCAACTCTTCCCTTCAAGAGCTTCAGATCATCCAAAACTCTGCAGCTCACGTACTCTTGCGCACCAGGCTCCGCAACCCCATCACTCCCACTCTCGCCCGACTCCACATCCCCCAGAGGATCGAGTTCAATATCCTCATTCTCACTTTCAAGGCCATCCATGGCCTTGCCCCCTCCTATCTCTCTGACCTGCTGACTCCCTACCAACCTGCCCGCTCCCTCGTTCATCGGGCTCCGGCTCACTCCATGTCTCCCACCCGACCCACCATCGGTGGCCGGGCTTTCAGCCTCTCTGCCCCCACACCCTGGAACTCCATCCCACAGTCCCTTCGCCTCGCTTCCTCCCTTGCCTCCTTCAAGGCCGGTCTCAAGACCCTCCTCTTTGATCGTGCCTTCAGTCGCCCTCCCACCTCTCTGCCTTCCCTCACCCCTACCCCACTCCCATGCTCTGGTCCTGACCCCTGACTGTCCTGTCAGCACCTTGGGACATCCTCCCGACGTGAAAGGCGCTCTATAAATGTAATTTTGTTGTTATTGTTGACCTTGCCACACCCAGAAAACGAACCTGGGCCCTCTCACTTGCAAGGCAAGCGCTGCACTGCAGGACTGCACAATGAATGTACAAACACACCCCTGGCTAACTCCCTGCTCTCTGTGGTTATGTGCCACTTAGTGTAGGTTTAATTCTATGCATCGGTTCAGCTGTGGTAATAAAAGCACAGGATTCCTGGGTGTGAAAAGCAACATCAATTGCTGCCTCGGCACATCACCCCAGAGTCTCAATTTTGCATTACCGAGGTTGATTACAAACACATTGAGTGCTCAATTGTCCCACAGAAGGTCCCACTGTGTCTGCCTCTCACCATTTTACACAACAGGAAAGCAGTCAATTTGGAATTCTCCTTCCGGAGCTGAACCAGCCACAGGATTAGAATCTGACCTGCAACCCCTCACGATTGTGCCTACAAAATACATAGTCACCACACTTCACAATGAAGCACTTTGAGACATCCTCCCAACACGAAAGATGCTATCATATGTAAGGAGTGTTATTATTACAATCCTGTATATAAACTGGTTATCTAGGGCCAAGCACTTTCTACATCAAAAGACTGAGTAACAGAGCTGTTCCTAGCTTTCTGTTCTTACTCTCCCCAATTTTCTCCATCCTCCTGAATGACGTTAAGAAGATACCTCTAGTTAAGTGTCAGTCAGTCTCTCAGAGAGGGAACCAGACAGGCACTAACAAATTATTAAAAAGCAAAAAACTTCACAGCCTCAAGAGAGATATCTGTAGGGCCTGAGTGCACAGGACATTAGTAAATGCACAACCAAATAAATTATTCACAAGTTATTTTCAGCACAAAGATACATCTCGTAATCATGCAACAATACATACTTTCCCGCCTAATAATCACAAGCATATACTTTAAAATTAAAGATACCTACATAGGAGAGAATTAAATGTCAATATCAGAAGGCTGCTAATACCAAAGTTTAAAACCAACAACAAATGAGTACTTGATATGAAGCATCCCTCCCACAGCACTTGTAATTAATTCTGTCTTTTTTGTTATTCTGTATCACTTGCCATCCAGTGTCTACAATGACGTGCTGCTAATCTTACCTGAATCATAAATAATGTGCTTCTTCCGGTGCGTTGCCTTCGGTTTTATGGCTATCGAGTCATCAGATGAACTCTTCCCCTGAAAAATACAATGCATGTGAATCTGCCGCATTCTCACCATTAGGTCACACTCGGGAGATCCAAACAGATTTCTTGCCGTCTAGAAGAATGTTTGAAGTAAATGTGCCCTTTTTCCTTTCTCCAGGCCTTTGAAAAACAAGCTTGGTTCCAATGAAGCACTGGAGCGGATCAATCACCATCCAGTGCAACATTAAGCCAAACAGCCTGTGCTGGGTTAGCTGCCCACAACCAAGGCAACTGCTGGGGCATTGCAAATGGCTTCAGCAAAACCAGATTAAAGGAAGTGAAATCACAAATCAGACCAAGTTCCTGCTTCAGATCACTATTTGGACATCCCTGCTGGAAAGTGGGAATGGCTGGTGAGGACAGGACTGAGCTGGATACATTCCTTCAACAACCTGCGGCTTTCACACCACAACATGCATTTATATAGTGTCCTTCACACGGGGTAGCGTCCAGGACGATGGTGTAGTTTGACACTGAGCTGGGGAGAAACGGATAGTAACCCTTTCTGAGGAAGGTCTTGAGTTGCAATTTGAAAACAAGAACTTGCATTTATATAGCACCCCTCATATGGGGCAACATCTCGGAGCGCTTAAGAGGAAGTAAGGTGGAGGGATTGAGGCAGGAATTTCCAGGCGTAGTGGCTTGAAGCCACCACCACCAATGATGGCGCAGAGGGGTCACAGCATGAATGTCTCAAAGTTCCTCAGAAAGAAAGAAGCAGAAAGAAGAGGAAGTTAGAGCTTGCTGAACAACAGCTCATTAAATGAGAGATTTTTTTATAGAGAGTTGAGAAGGTGAAAGAAAAGATTATGGAGAGTTCCAGCTCGCGAAGACATTGTGACTGAAGGCTTGGTCACCAATGAAAGGACTGAGAAAATTTCCCCAAGATTCTGATTAAATAAAACGCTGAACCACAGTATTAGTGCAGAGTCTCTCCCATCACTGACTGACCTTGGGCTCCCTGGGTTTCTTCTTCACATCGGATGTCACTTTGATTCCGCTTTTCGCTCTGCTCTTCCTTTCAGAGGTCTCATTCCCACTTCTCTTTCCGGCAGGAATGGTATCGAAGAATTTCCGAATATCCTGCACACAAAACATTACCGTCAGCAAACACCAATAGATCAAATGCAATTTTGCACTTCACAGATACAGGTAACAACATTAAACAAACAGCAAGAGGTATTACAATCCTGGCCAGAGATGGGTCGAAATTAGCTTTATGCTGAATATACATGAATCACCACAGCCAAGATAGACTCGGCTGCAAGTTCCTAAAAAGAAGAAATAGAACAGAAGTCCAAGATGTAGGGTGGGCATAGGTGATCAAACATCTATGGACTATTTATATACACTGGTATTATTTATGTAAAGGAATGTCTCATTGTGCTTGATCACTGGGATGCTGGAGAAAATGAAGAGTCATCTGTGGAAAGCAATGGATCCAGACACAGCAGCACTGGGAACAATCTGACTGATGAGAATGCAACCCTAGAGGTTTGAGGTTTTTATCTCCGTACAGGGTGAGGAATCGATCTCGCTCTCTCTTCCTCTCATTTCACTCACAAAATAAATCAATTCACTTTACAGTATATTCTGTGAAACTTTTCGATACGTCTCAATGACGTGATAAGGTACTATATCAAATGCAAGGATTATCATCATCCTCCTCCTCCAAGACGGAACTTCACAAAGCCGATCCTCAGTAATCCTGCCTTGTGATTATTGATTTAGCTCCAAACACTGGGCGGACACATGGGGTCTGATTAAAGGATTGGACTTGTGGTGTTGGATGCATTTCTTCATTGCCTGACATCCAGGGATACATTCTTCTCACAATGGCTCCTGGCAACTTGGTGCCAACTCCAGTAGAGTATAGCTCCATCAACTCTTTGGAAACCAATCTACCACAGGCAGAGACAGATCTATACAAAGAACCAGCCAACTGGACAGCCAAGCATATAAGTAACCCCAACAACAAATCCCGATCAACGCTCGTGGAGAAAATGGGAACCCGGTTCAATGGTTACCACCCGAGGTAGCAACAAGTCACACAGGCCACAAAGCTGCAGGTTCAGGTTAAAGCTGAATTAACTGAACTCCACTGTGGTAACTGTCTTTGGCATGCATAGTTTTGGCGGGGGGAAGGGGGGTGGGAGGGATGGAGTGGAGTTGAAAAACAAAGCCAGCATTCGACACAGTCAAATTGTCCTCAATGCCATACAAAGGTGAACAGTCCATTACGAATTGCCACTTGAACAAGGTAGCAGAGTGGAACTGCACTCAGCAAACAGTTCAGCCGATCAGAGAATGTGCAAGAGGAGAAAAAAAATAACTGCCATCCAGTGTACCAGCAAAAGCTTCAGTCCTGCACTGCAGGAGCACTATAACAGACACTGGTTTGAGATTGAACTGGGAACATTTTTATTCAAAAGGTTGGTCAGCAGCAGATCAGAACGGCAGATGTGATGATAGGACGCAGACTGAACTGGGATCAGGTTTGAAGGCCCGCAGGATAAATTGAGCTGCAAGGCTTTGTTGTACGAATCTCCATCACTCTCAGTAAGTGTCGAAAGTTTCTGCTCTGGAATTCACGTGCCTGGACCCAGAAGCATTACAATATACCATCTCACTGATAACAGGCAAACTGACAAACCCTTCTAAAAAAAAAACCGCAGCTCCCTTTCGTGGCTTTGTAACAAAGCAATAGTACAAGTAATCGGATTTTCATTTCCTAAGCGCACCACTGAATTCCCTACACACTGACACAAAATGGGACCATTAGTTTGTCAGCATTAAAAGAGCTGGAGGATTAAAGCTTTAAATGACGCTATGCACTAAACTATCACCGAATGCACAAGCAGAACGCCAAGACCTCTCCCAAAATACCCACACTTTCTGCAGAAGGGAAAATCCCATACATCTGTATGGAACGAGGAACACAGCCTTACTGGTGGGCATTAGCTGCTGCCTGCAGACCCAATGCTTCTCAACTCCATCTTGAAATGGGACACAAATGACAATTAGGTCCAATCTCCACTCAACAGCCAGTCTGAAAGTTCTCCAGGTTACACACTAGCATTTCCTCTCTCTCTCTCACAGAGTGCCCTCTCACACCTGCATGCACCACGACACCATTCCACCAGCGCAGGAGGAGTCATCATTCCTAACTCTCAGATAATATATACTGGGTGTTTGGCTTCTTCACCTTTCTTTCAGGCTTTTCCAGCTTTCGGAAATTGCAATCAGCCAGGTTGAGTATATCGCAAGTGGGACTTTCAATATTTGCAAATGCAAGTCGCTCACAGGCACATCTACTTTGGTTAGCAAATATCGCAAGTTAGATCCCAAAATCCTAGAATGGAGACATCAAACAGAATTCCATCATCCACGTGCAGGTTCTCCTCAAGACTGAACTCTCTGGACACGGGGATCCGGGGGCTGAATCATCACTGTTTTTTTGACGAGACTTTAAACCGAGGTGCCATCGTGTTGTTCTACTGATGTTAAGGTTTCCATGACACCATCCGAAAAAAATCAGTTTCTCTCAATGGTCTCGCCAACAATCCTCCAGATAAATTGGTCACTGACATCATTGTTGTTTGTAGAGCCGTCTCAGCACCACTTAGTTGCTGCGTTCGCCTGCAAGTACCCATCAGAAACCACCTGCAAAATGCTTGGATTAATTTCACTATTACAGTCATTATATCAAACGCAAGGATCGTCAATATTATGAGTTCTCACTCACACTGCCGTGCTCACTTCCTTCCACAGGAAACCACAAGAAAATCTAAAAGCTCCTCGGCAGAGCACGTTCCACACCACTCAAAGAAACTCTTAATTAATACAAAATACACCCACTATTCTCAACACCCACCACACACCTGTCCCCCTGCCTGGATGCAGTAACACCATCCACACAAAGTTGGGGGAGAAACAAATATGAAATATTCAAAAATACTCCACCTTCAAATGAATAATTCTGCACGTCAGTAATTGTGTACAGTCAAATTCCATCACAAGGACCTGCAACCTTAGGATTTGTCTCCTGACTGCACCACAGACAGCAGGAAAAACCTATGGTTGAAGGCATGGTGATAGAATATGAGGGTCCTTTTACCTCAAGTCAGACTCCGGAATACTAAGAAATGTAAAATTGTATTCTGATGGACTGTGTTATTAATGGGGAGGGGAGCTGTGTGACGAATGGAGGGTGGGGTAGAGGAAGAAAGAGTTTTGCTCCACCCACAACCCGCCTGCTCCACTCATCACACAGCTCCCCTCCCCATTAATAACACAGTCCGTCAGAATTCCAACAATAGTCAGGAAGCAGGATTTTACCCCTGGGGAAAAAGCTAGTTTCAAATTTACTGACTAATCTGAAACTGCTCATACCTCCTGCCTGCCATCTCAAAATACAACACTAGATCTTGGCACATTCCCTGCAGATCAGACAGAACGGAGCTCCCACCAGCTAATATTCCACTTGTCGCTAAGTGCAGTGAGGTGATCATTGCTTTATAATGGGATTTTTCCAGATTATAAGCGTACATTTACAATTTAGCAGCAAGCAAAATATCTTGTTTTGGGCATATGAAACCTCCCAGCCCAAACCCTGGCTTGGGCTAAGGGAATGAAAGAAAGAAGTCTAAATGTTTAAGAAAACCAAATCGAGTTTTATTTTATAATAATGAATTAACAGCAACATGCGTTACAATTCAGTGCACAAACAGCAGCTGTACAGGATGCTAAACAGGTGTAGACACTGAGCAATGGGGTCACAAGGTTGTTTTGAAAAAAAAATATCAAAAATATTCCATCTTTGACAATATCATTTTGAATAAAAGCACCTGCAGGTGTGTGCTCAGGTCATGTTTTCCTCAAGACCGTGTGCAAAGGTCAGCAGCTGCACCTGGAGACTCCAGCCAGTCAATTTATGTAGCTGGGTGGAGCAGGCCTGCGTTTCCTGGGCTGTTATGTTCATTCACATAACACAATCGTTGGCCCGATTGGCTGTTTGAAACTACTGGCAGCTTCAGGATCCTTAGCTCATCCACACAAACGGTAGCAGTCATCGATTCTCTCCAAGTGGTGAAATGCATGTCACACCGGGAAACAAACTGACATGATGTCTGCAAGATACCCAGTCCTAAAAAAAGAGGCAATTCTGTTTATTTTCTTCGAATGTACAATGCAGGAGAAACAAATCCAAACCCACCAATTTTCAAAATGTACACTGTTGTTGCCAGGGAAACTCCCAGGATTTCCCACAGGGACATGGAGAATCACTTAGAACCAAATATAGCCCCATTATCAATGCAAGTCATGGGACAGCAAAGCATTATAATAGAATAGATTCTGGCACGTACCTAGTTAAATGGGCACAACCACTTGCTGAGTTCCCGTTGAGTCTTGCCTTGGAGCTCATTTTCTCTTGCCAGCAACAGGGAGAAGCTACATATCTAGCCGTTGTATTTTTAGTTCCTCAGCAATGTAGGCAGAACAAAATTAAACATTCTTTTTACTTCTACAATTTTAAAATAAAATACACCAGCATTGGGCTAAAATATTCTTCAGATGCATTAAAACACACATTCAACAACAGCAACAAATTACATTTGTATAATGCCTTTCACATCAGGAGGCGCTGGGGAGTCAGGTATTTGGACCTGAGCTGGGGTTGGGATCAGGAGAAATGGAGGGTAGGGAGAGTAGGAGTGGGAGGGTGACCGAAGGCGTGGTCGAAGAGGAGGGTCTTGAGACAGGTCTTGAAGAAGGCAGGAAAGGAAGCCAGGCGAGGATGGGGTGAAAGGGTCACAGAGCCTGCGGAAGAGAACACAAGCTAGAGTGCTGCATTCTGCAGCTTGTTGAGGGAAGAGTTGGGAAAGCCGACAAGCAAGGAGTTGGCATAGTTGAGCCTAGATGTAATGAATGCGTGTTTGTGGGTTTCGGCAGCCTGAGGGGTGAGGCAGTGGCGGAACCAGGCAATGTTGCAGAGGTGGGGGAAGACAGAACTGGTCATGGCACAGATATGGGGTAGAAGGGACACTTGAGACATTCAATAATCAACAGCAGTCCATATATTTCAGAACACAGCTCTGAGTTCTTCCTNCCCCCTTTACCTCAAACCCACCTCGCCAAAAAAAGGGATTGTGGAGACACTGAACCTTCCTCCATAAGCAGCACAATAGATTAAGAACAACAATAACAATAATCCTTGTATTTAATGTAAGCGGCTTTCACATCAAGTGGACATCTCAAAGCGCATCTCAGGATTTTAGTTTAGTGACTGTAACTTGTTGGTGAACCTACCAGCAACCGAGGAAGAGACGCAAGTTAAAGGTGGATGTATCAAGGAATTTCATGGTATCGAGAAATCCCGAATCTCAATTAGTGCAAGTCCCAGTTTTGGAATAAAATCAAGAAGAACTGATTCGAGGATTCTACTGATTTACTGGATAACCAACTTCCTGGAATCTGTACAGCCCAACCCTATGCAGACCAGCTGATGTCAGGATAACGGAGCAAGAATCCATCCCACTGAATATCGAGATAATGAACGTAAGTGCAATTCAATTGATAAGATACACACACTCATTTCTAATCACTTGGTATTGACTTTTGGCCAATTTTCTTTTCTTCTTCTATCATTCGAACCATATTGCTCGACAGCGTGTGCATGTTAATGGGCTCACTTTTTTGTGGTTGGGACTGTTCAAATGTCAATTGCGGAGCTACCAGCTCCAGCAGTCACAGACCACAGTAACTGCAGATTTCTTCAGACGGCCTGTCCGATATTGAAGTAATTCAAAATTCACACAAATCCATACCCAAAATGAAATCAGTGGCTCCAAAGATTGCAAAAAAAAGGTACAGATTGGACACAAAAAAAGACAACGACAGTAGAAGCACATCTTCGGCAGAAGAAAACCACCGACATGTATTAGAGAGAGAGAGAGGGACTGTCACACAGGGGAGTCCACCTGCCTTGGGATCAAAAGGGAGCGCTGAGCACAAGCTGCATGCAGACCGTAAACCTAGATTCAAGACGCGCACAGTAAGAATCTGCAGCTCGTGTACTGTCCCGCACCAGGCTTCGCGACCACATCACTCCCACCCTCGCTCGCCTCCACTGGCTCCCCATCCCCCAGAGGATTGATTTCAAGATCCTCATCCTCACCTACAAGGCCATTCACGGCCTCGCTCCCTCCTACCTCTCCAACCTACTATCCCCCTACCTACCTGCCCGTACCCTCCGTTCCTCTGGCTCCGGTCTGCTCCACGTCCCCCGCCCCAACCGCCCTACTATCGGTGGTCGGGCCTTCAGCCTCTCAGCCCCGAGGCTCTGGAACTCTATCCCCCAGTGCCTTCGCCGCTTCCTACCTTTCCTCCTTCAAGGCCGGTCTCAAGACCTTTCTCTTTGACTGTGCCTTCAGCTCCCCTCTCGGCTCTCTACCCCCTCCTCGCTCCCTCCCTTCCCTCCCCTCACCCTGACCATGTCCCCCCCAAGGCTCGGGTCCTGACCCAACTGTCCAGCGCCTTGGGACATCCTCCCGACGTGAAAGGCGCTCTATAAATGCAATCTTGTTGTTGTTGTTGTTGTAAGAGGCGAAACAGGATACCTACCCACCGCGTGCTGAACAAACCCCCGGGTGTGCGCTGGAGGGAAATCGGTACCATTTATTAAGCGCCTCAGCCTGCTGTCAGCGGGCAAGAGAAGCCACAACAGGACTGCAAACAAATACAACTGGGAGGGGCTGGATTTCTTCCACACCCACAGCCACACCCAAATATACATATAGATATATATCTATCTATGTGTGTGTGTGTGTGGGGGGGGGGGGGGCAATGTAAAACCCTGATGGGATTTGAATCTGGATTGCCAGACAGAGAGAGATTTTTATATATTTTTTTCCCCCAAAAAAAAGCCTAACGGTACATACGGTTTTTTTTTAAAAAAAATGTATGTACACAGAAAAAGAGAAAAAAAGATAAGACGACGACGACGAAAAAAAAAAGAAACGAGAGAGAGAGAGAGAGAGAAAAAATCGCCCCCTCTCTCTCAACGCCACAAGGCGCGCGTTCAATAAACCAACGGCTGAATCCCGGGGAGTTACGGGGATCGGTCGCTGTCGGTTTTATTTATTTTATTTTATTTTTTTAAAAAAATTTTCGCGCCGCACCGGAACCGCCGGTGACACGGGGGGTTTTTTTTCGCGGCCGAGGCCTCAGCGCCGGTAACGCCCTCCGTCCCTCCCGCCTTCCCAGTCCGTCCTCCCTCCCTCCCTCCTGCCCTCCCTCCTGCCCTCCCGGCCCGCGCAGGGGGGCCCGCCCTTGGGCCTTGCTTGACTATTCTCTCGGGACCGTTGAAACCCGGGCAGGGCAGGGCAGGGCCGGGCAGGGAGGGCCGGGCAGGGAGGGCCGGGAGGGCGGGCAGGGAGGGCAGGGAGGGCAGGGTAGGCCGGGCAGGGAGGGCCGGGCAGGGAAGGCCGGGCAGGGCAGGCCGGGCAGGGCGAGCAGGGCGGGCAGGGCCGGGCCGGGAGGGCGGGCAGGGAGGGCAGGGCCGGGCAGGGAGGGCAGGGCCGGGCCGCTCGCAGTGTGCGGGGCCTGGGCACGGCAAGCACTCCCTCCCTGCCCTCCCTCCCTCCCTCCCTCTCCCCAAACATACCCCCCCACCACCACCGTGAAGGTATATGTATAACACACCATCTCTCCCCCACCCCTTACCATCTGGCTGCTGGGCGGCCCCGCGCGCTACCGCTGCTACTGCTGCTGCCGCTCCTCCTCTGACCCGACCAACCGCCACATTTGGCGCCAACAATTTCAACGCGCACGCGTGCCCGGCGCGCGAGAAAGACGTCACCGTCACCACACCCCTTCACCCCCCCCACACCCTCCCCCCACACACACGCCCCGCCCCCACCTCTCCCTCTCTCTCCCCGTCGTCGGCGGACGTTACGTCACCGATCGCGCGCGGGCGGAAGGAACTTACGTCGCCAGATTAGACGGATTCACGCCCAATTGGGCGTTTTTTTTTGCTGCGCTGGACGCGAGTAAAGAAGCCCAATTGGGCGGGTTTACGCGAGAAAAGAAGCCCAATTGGGCGGGTTTTTTTGCACTGCACGCACGAAAAGAAGCCCAATTGGGCGGGTTTTTGTTGCCATGGAGTGAGTGACCAATTTTTATTTTGGGGGGGAATTGTCCCTCCAAAGGTCATCCCCTCCGACATTGCGGCACCGACCCGGAGTGTTAGCACAGACTGGATGGGTTCCTTGTCCCAGTGTGAGGCCTGAACCCACAACCTTCTGACTCAGAGGCAAGATTGAGGCAGGTTTGGTTGGCCTTTGCCCAGGAGTTGCCCAGGCGTTGCCCAGGAGTTGCCCAGGCGTTGCCCAGGAGTTGCCCAGGAGTTGCCCAGGCGTTGCCCAGGCGTTGCCCAGGAGTTGCCCAGGAGTTGCCCAGGCGTTGCCCAGGAGTTGCCCAGGAGTTGCCCAGGCGTTGCCCAGGCGTTGCCCAGGCGTTGCCCAGGCGTTGCCCAGGCGTTGCCCAGGAGTTGCGTGGTCAGGTCCCGCAAAATAACAAGCAAGGCTATTGCTAAGGGGAAAAGGTCGGCCAGTCCGTGTACCTCTGGATAATGCGGATTACTGGAGGCATTCTGTTTTCATAGATGTTACGTAGATTGTACAGCACAGAAATAGGCCGTTCCTCACCATTAGTCATTGCCAGTGTTTACACACAAGTCTCCACCCACTGCTGACACCCTCCAATATCCCTCGATTCCCTTCTCCCTCACGTGTACATCCAGCTTCCTCTTAAATGCATCTATGCTGTCTGATTCAACCACCGCTTCGGGCAGCGAGCTCCACGTTTTCACTACCCTTCACTTGAAATAGTTCCTTCTATACTCTCTTTTAGGTTCCCCCCCCCCGGCGCAGGGTCATGTAAGTGCTCACAACTTACATAGTATCAAATAAGTAGTCGTACTCAACCACTAGAAGATATATATCTTTGCTTAACTCAAAACCGTTTCTGGCTCAACCTTGGACTCGGGGTGTTTAGTTATTTAATTGGTCTTAAGTGTTTCTTTTGCATTTTGGTGTCTAATCTGTTCACTCACAGAAACATTGCTTCTATTTCTGCTTGCGTGCCTCAGCAATAGGTAACATTTTGGCTCTAGGTATACACTTTTAAATCCTCTCGTGTGACCTGCACTGTATTGTATACTGCTTGTAAAATCTCATTATTCCTGTTAATTGGTATTATGACCTTGTCACCTTTGTACCACATTCAATACAAGCAATTATTTAACATTCTTGTTGTTTGTAAATACAGGTTTCCTTTCACAATGTATTTCAAAGGCACGTTCAGTCACTTTGCCCTGAATCTCTGAACTCTTCGCCTCCATCCCCCCTTCTTGCCCCCTTTCTCAGTGGAGTCCTGTAGCTCAGTGGTTAGAGCACTCGCTTTGCAAGTGAGAGACCTGAGTTCAATTCCAGGCCGAGGGCGAAACCTTGGGCAAGTTTCCTTACTCCACACAGAGCCTAATAATAATCCCTCCAAAACCAAAAACAATAATAAATTGGTCATTTTCAATCTACCACTGTTTGTGGGACATTGCTGTGCGCAATTGGCTGCCGCGTTCGCCCACAAATATACAGTCAATTCACTTTACAGTGTGTTCTGTGAAGCGCTTTGGGACGTCCTCCCGACATGAAAAGCGCTATATCAAATGCAAGGATTATTATTATTATTATTATTATTATTATTATTATTATTATTATTATTATTCTGTGTGTCTTCTAATCGTGCATAGAGTTTCCTCCTCTAACATGCCTTCGGTCACTTCCCCCACCTTTCCAGCTCGGAGTCAAGGCATGGCGCTGTTAAGCGCTCTGTGACTGTACCTAAACTTATCACTGATTCACAGTGATTTGATATGTAAGTCATGTATTCTTTGGCTAATGATACATTGGAATTGCTTAAAAGTCTGGCTCTGAGTTGGCTGTTTAGAATTCCACAGATAATGTGTCCTCAAATCAGACAGTCTGTAGGCGACTGAATTCATAAGATTGCTTTGTCCTTGAAGTCTGTCACAAAATGGGTTTTTTGGGCACGACCTATCTGGTGATTGCTACTTCTGAAATTTCTCTATCCCAGGTTGTATTTTTACAGAAGTTGAAGTAAACTTTCTTTTTCAAAAATGTTCTCTATTGTCACATTCATCTTCATCCTGTTTGAAAGAGTTATAAATGCCAAATGTGTATTCCTCTGCCTTTGAGAGTAGAGCAGAATTGTTAAGTCTCTGTATTTGCAGTAATTTCAGTTACTTGAATATGAAATTAAACATGATTTAGTCACTTCCTAGAGTCATTCACGTCATCTGTTTGTGGGACATAGCTTTTCGCAAAAAGGCTGCAACTTTCGCCCACTAAACACACAGTCACTGCACTTTACAGTATATCTTGTAAAGTGCTTTGGGACATCCTCCCAACTTAAAGCTGCACTTGATCTTCTAAGCTAACAGGCTGAGAATATATATTTTTTATTTTTAGACTAACCAGGTGGACCACAATAGTTTTTCCCATTGCTGTATATTCCTATGTTCCTATACTCTCTATCTAAGTTCATACACTAATTGATCCTTATATTTACAGTGAGTTACCATGTTGCACAGAAATGTGAACATTGGAGCTTACGTAAGAAAAGCTTCAGGTAATACATTCATTCAAAGCAAACATCTGTAACATTGACCATTTGTCCCATTTGTGGGAGACTGCTGTGCCCAATTGACTGCTGCGTTTCGCCCACAAATATACGGTCAATTTACTTTACAGTCTATTCTGTGAAGCGCTTTGAGACGTCGAGAAGACGTGAAAAGCGCTATATCAAATGCAAGGATTATTATTATTATTATTATTTAGCATTAGAATGTAATGCTTACTTCCCAACCCACTACCAGCTGCCTCCGCTCGAGGCTCCGGCCTCCTGTATGTCCCTTTTGCCCTCCGTTCCACCATCGGTGGCTGCGCTTTCAGCCACTATGCTCCGAAATTCTGGAACACCCTTCCTCTATCCCTTTGCCTTGCCCCTTCCTTCCCCATTTTTAGGTCACCCTGAAGACCTTACTCTTCGAGCGTGCCTATGGCCACCTCGCACTCCCTCCCCCCAGCACAGCGTTGTGCTCTGCCACTGTAGAGCGCTCTGGGACGCTACCCTGTGTGAGGGGTGCTACATAAGTGCAGGTTGTTGTTATTATTGTAATCTCCCCTGCTGTGTAACTGAACTAAAACACTTTAAACTGCCAATATCCAATGTGCAACATGAACACTGATCATGTTTCAGAATATATAATCATAGCTCCATAGACCTAAAATTCACAAGATCTCAAGATTAGTTTAGATGAGGAGGGCCCTTTGGCCCATTTAAAAATTTTGCAGAATAGAATAAGGCCATTCAGCACATTTGATCTCATACTTTCAGAATACCCGAATGTTGAAAATATTAACTGTACTTAAAAGTTTCAGGATTCACATTAGCACAGTAAGTTGTATACTAACATCAACAACAACATTTCATTTGTAAAGTGCCTTTTATGTTGGGAAGACATTCCAATGCACTGGACAGACAGAGTTATGGAACCAAGCTGGGGGTTGGGGTCAGGGAGGTTGAGTAATAATAATAATCCTTGCATTTGATATAGCGCTTTTCACGTCGGGAGGACGTCCCAAAGCGCTTCACAGAACACACTGTAAAATGAATTGACTGTATATTTGTGGGCGAACGCGGCAGCCAATTGCGCACAGCAATGTCCCACAAACAGTCGTAGATTGAAAATGACCAATTTATTATCGTTTTTTTTCTTTTGGTTTTGGAGGGATTATTATTAGGCTCTGTGTGGAGTAAGGAAACTTGCCCAAGATTTCGCCCTCTGCCTGGAATTGAACTCAGGTCTCTCGCTTGCAAAGCGAGTGCTCTAACCACTGAGCTACAGGACTCAAGGTCAGTGGGGGAAGCAGGGAGATCGAAAACAAGGTCGAAGAGGAGGGTCTTGAGATGGGTCTTGAAGGTGGCGAGGGAGGCGGCAAGGGGGAGGGACTGCGGGATGGAGTTCCAGAGGGTGGAGCAGAGTGGGGACGTGAAGCAGGCCGGAGCCCGCTGAGCGGAGGAAGAGAGCAAGATGGTAGGGGGTTAGAAGGTCGCAGAGGTAGGAGAGAGCAAGGCTATGAAGGGCATTGAAGATGAGGGCCAGGATCTTGAACTGTATCCTCCATGTGATGGGAAGCCAGTGGAGTTGGGCAAGGATGGGGGTGATAGGGTCACGGAGCCTAGTGTGGGAGAGGACATGGACTGCAGAGTTCTGGATGATCTGCAACCTGTGAAGGGAGGAGTTAGGGAGGCCGACAAGCCATGAGTTTGCATAGTTGAGCCTCGATGTAATGAAAGCGTGTATGAGGGTTTTGGTGGCCTGCGATGTGAGACAGTACGGAGCCGTGCGACTTTGTGGAGGTGGGGGAAGGCAGAGCGGGTCATAGCATAGATTTGGGGTAGAAAGAATGGTGCACTTATATTAATATAATAATAATTCTTGCTTTATTCGTCATTGAGAATTCTCCAATACTGGGAGAAACTTCATTCTCTTTTTGACTAGTGCCATGGAATCTTTAATATAGACCTAAAAATGTAGGAGAGCTTGGTTTAATGTCTCACCCACAGGTTGGCACCTCCAATATTGCAGTGGTCTCCCACAACTGCACTAAAGTGCCAGCCTAGTAAGCTCAATGTCCCCATGTGGGGCATCCTCGTGGGATGCTGGAGCAAGATTTGGCAGGTTACCAATTAGCCAGTTACCAATGTTAACTGAACAAAACACGTCAACCAACGAGAGCAAGGGGAAAAGCAAAAATAATGGTTTTATTAAAAATAAATTAAATATTAAACATTGTTTTTATTTTGAAGAGAACTTTGAAAGAATAATATGTTTGTGGTTGCAACATAATCCAGGAGTATAAAATCCACCAGCAGCTATGCATATTATAATAATCAATAAGCCTTGCATTGAGATACTCCCCCCCTGTGAACACAGTGTACACTGTACTTTGCTGAGATGTACATAATTAGTAAGTGGAGGTTTCGTGTTTGTATTGGAGGTGCTGCACTCTCTTTCATTGCGTCATTCTTGTAATAACTGAAAAATTAGCACGATCAATTTCTTTTGTTAAATATTTGTATAGCCTGCGTCACATCTTTGATCAATAATTACAGTTCATGGAACAGGTACTGCTCCCATCAGTGCATTCAGCAACAAGTAGGCTAAATGAAAATAAGTGGCTGTATTGCGACAGTCTCTTTTTACTGTATTAAGAGACTTTTTGTGTGAATTTTTGTGCACTTCATAAAGGTGTATTGTATGAGTGTAGGGAATGGAACATTTTTGCCATTTCCAGCACCCAGTGTCAGCATTAAAAACTCCCAGGGTCAGATATTGTTCAGACAGATGCAGAGTAAAGTTCCAGTCACTCTACTCTGCACCCAACTGTATGCCTCAGCCCGAAATTCCCCCCAACTCTCCCGCGTGCTTGCCTATATGTGTCAGTTTTTGTTCTATGGCAAATAATGAATGGGTATAGAAAATGAGTTGTGGCAGGCTAAACTAAGTCCACACCAACAGAACGGACACCTCGTGCCATCAGTCTGCAACAGATTCAAACACGGTCCTGAAAGTAACCAATTTTGGAGTCCTCCAGCATATTGGTTAAAGCAATCGCCTCGCAAGCGAGAGGACCCAGGTTCGATTCCCGGGCAAGTTTCCTTCCTCCACATGCCTCTGTTTACCTAGCAGTAAGAGAAATCCGTTTGTTGGTCGATTGGTGCATCGCTTTCCAGGGGTTATAATTCCTTCAAAAAATAATAATAATAATTTGGTCACTCAATCCACGACTGTTTGTGGGACACTTCTGTGCGCAATTAGCTGCCGCGTTTCTCCCACAAAATATGCAGTCAATTCACTTTACAGTATATTTTGTGAAGTGCTTTGAGACGTCTTGACAACGTGATAAGGCACCATATTTTTGTTATTATCATATGTTTTGTACAGTACTTACCAGCTCCTAACCAGTAGTATCTTATCCGTCCTTCCTGCCCTGCCCTCTGAGGGGCTTAAAAGGAAAAATGAATTTAGGTATGAATGTGGGGGGTGGGGGGGGGGGGGTGTTGGACGGGAATGAAAAAACTTTCATTTTATTTAAATAAAATATTATTGTCTTTATTAAAAAAAAAGGCCATTTAACAAATATTTTTGTTTAAGGATGGAGAAGGGATATATTTCATTTTCATCACATTTCATTTGATTTTCAATGTGTTCACTCCATTGAGTGGTTTTAACTTGGACATTGATCAGAAACGATCATGCCAGGTCCCAACTGCAATTTTTTTTTAAAAAAATCATACAACAGCAGAGAAAAACCCTAATTTACAAATTATCTTTGGCCCTTTGGCCCATTTGACCCATCACTTATTTTTGTTTCAAATTATCAATTTGAAACAAAACAAATAATCCCCTTCCCCTCTTTTAGATCACGCCTGAAGACCTTCCCCTTCGACCGTGCTTACAGTCACCTCCTCCCTACACCGGGCTCGGTATCAGGCTCCGCCACTGTTAAGTGCTCTAAGACACTGCCCCGCGTGAAGGGCGCTGTATAGATGCAAGTTGTTGTTGTTACGAATAGATTATGTATTAATCTCAGTCACTCGCAGCGTGTGTGTGGCTGAGATTCGTCGTTAATGATCTACAACGTGTGATATAGATGTGTTCTCCAGTTATATCATCCTGGAGACTTTGCAGGTGATGAATTGTGACACACTTCTCTATCCCCAGTGCTATTGGAGTAGCAATGTTTGAGCAGCCCATGGTTTGATCTCCAGTTTGTGTTAATGATTGACAGAGAATATTTCAACCACAAAGTGAGTGATAAATCCAGTCCAGCAGTTAGTTCACTTGGGAATGGAGGTGGACTGGGCTGCAGTGATGTCTCTGTACTGATGAGCTGAGCTGCCTTGAATCGGTTTTGTGGTTTAGGTTCACACAATGACTGAGAGACTTGTAATCCTCCTGGCGCCACTCTGGATCAGTGGATGTGTCACTGTTGTCAATGGAGAACCGGGGGCAGGAAGGATCCTGTGGAAGAACAGATCAACACTGAATTATATGAATGAAAGCGAACTTTTTCTCTATGACACTTTCCCCCAGAGCTTCATGTGGGGCGTGGGGAGTTCTGCCTTTGCTATTGAAGGGGGTTGGGAAAAGGATGGGAAAGGAGCTTCTGTCTGGGATGATTTGACGCACAGAGAATCCTCCAGGTTTGACAACACAACTGCAGACACTGCCAGTGACAGCTACACTTTCCTACATAAAGATCTGGCTGCTCTGGAACACCTGGGAGTCAACTCCTACCTCTTCTCCATCTCGTGGCCCAGGCTGTTCCCAAAGGGAAAGGTAGAAGATGTCAATTTGAAAGGTCTCCAGTACTACAACAGGCTCATTAACTCCTTGATCCAGAGGCAAATCGAGCCCATAGTCACTCTCTACCATTGGGACCTGCCTTCAATACTGCAGCAGGAGTATGGAGGCTGGTTGAGTGAGGCTGTGGTTGATATATTTAATGAATACGCTAGATTTTGTTTCCAGAGTTTCGGGGATCGTGTTAGATTCTGGATTACAATCTACAATCCTCATCTGATCGCCTGGAATGGTTATGAAACAGGCCGGCACCCCCCTGGGGAGAGTGGGAATCGTGCTGCAATGTACACAGTGGGACACAACCTGATTCAGGTAAAGTAAACTGCTAAAATGATAGAAATCAAGTTGCAGAGTTTTAAGAATTAAGAAACAAAAAGAATTTTCAGTTTCCCTATTAATGAAGGAGAAAATGAGGAATGGATGATTTTATTCAGGTGTCCTCATTATAATAATATTAATAATAATATAATAATAATAAAACCAATCCTTGCATTTGATATAGAGCCTCATCACGTCTTCGAGATGTCTCAAAGCACTTCATAAAGTATAACGTAAAGTTAATTGAATTGGGGAGGACAAGTTTGCAGGGCTATGGGGACGGAGCGAGGGAGTGAGATTGATTTGGATAGTTCTTTTAAGAGAGCCAGCACAGACACGATGGGTCGAATGGCCTCCTTCAGTGCTGTATAATTCTATGATTCTATGACTGTATATTTGGTGGGCAAAACACGGCAGCCAATTGCGCGCAATGGTGTCCCACAAACAGTCGTAGATTGAGTGACCAAATTATTTTTTTTATTTTTATTTGGTCCTATTCTGTCTCTGAACCAGAAGGTTGTGGGTTCAAGCTTCCAATTTATATAGTCAAGGGGTGTACTGCATTAATGTATACCCCTAGACTACATTTTCAAATGAGACATTAAAACTATTTGTTCAGGTGGACATTAAAGTTCCCATGGTGCTATTTGAAAAGAGAACAGAGTTTCTCCCAGTGTCCTGACCAGCAACCATTCTAGTAAACAGAATACTGCAGATGCTGGAAATCTGAAATACAAAACCAAAGTCGCTGAGAACACACAGCAAGTCAGGCAGCATCTATGGAAAGAGGAAAATGAGTTAACGTTTCAGGTCGATGATCTTATGTCAGAATTAGGGGATGTTGGAAGGGAGCAGATTATAAGGACCTTTCCCCCAGATGCTGCCCGACCTGCTGCGTGTTCCCAGCAACCTCTGCTTTTATTTCAATCCTTCTAGTAAAATTGGTCACTCACCTCATAGCAGTTTGTGGGCATTGATATGCACAAATTGGCTGCGTCATTCACTCATCCTACAAAACTTACTGTTTACTGCACTTTACAGTAAATCCTGTGAAGTGCTTTGATATGTGAACGGTTTTATATTAATTGCTAGGATTATTATTATTACATTATTAAAATCAAAATTGATAGAAATGTTTTGAGATGCTTCGACCTGTTTTATGAAGTAAATGGTAGGAAACAAAGTCAACTTGTACAAATCATCCTTTAGTTCAATTAATTGAGCCTTGTACACAGAATATATCATGTTATACTGAAGTCCACTTCAGGACTTGAGGTTATCGACTTGGTTGACACTCCAGTCTAGTACTAGGGGAGCACTGCTTTGTCGGAGGCAACACTTTTCGAATGAAACATTAAAATGAAGTCCTGACAGTGGATATTGAACATTCCATGATACAATCTGAAATGAAAAGGAAGATCCTGCTAGGTAATCTGGCTGGGTTTTCTCTTCCTCAACTCTTGGAAGGTCAGGAACAATTTTGCCTCCCCTCGCAGCCCCAGCTGGAAGCAGCAAACTCAGCACTGACCAACAATAACAATAATAATAATAATAATCCTTGCATTTGATATAGCGCTTTTCACATCTGGAGGACGTCCCAAAGCGCTTCACGGAACACACTGTAAAGTGAATTGACTGTATATTTGTGGGCGAACGCGGCAGCCAATTGCGCACAGTAATGTCCCACAAACAGTCGTAGATTGAAAATGACCAATTTATTATTGTTTTTGGTTTTGGAGGTTATTATTATTAGGCATGTGGAGTAAGGAAACTTGCCCAAGGTTTCGCCCTGCCTGGAATTGAACTCAGGTCACTCTTGCAAAGCGAGTGCTTTTACCACTGAGCTACAGGACTCCACAATAACAACAACTTACACTTATATAGCTCCCTCCACACAGCCTAGCGTCTCAGAGTGTTCAACAGTGACCAGGATTTGAACCATTTCCAGTTCTTGAGCTGGTCATTAAATCTCAAAGCACTTCACATGAATTACTGTAAAATGGAGCGTCTTTATTTGTAGGCAAATGGAGCAGCCAGTTTGTACACAGCAATACCCCACAAACAACAACAACATGTTGCATTTATGTAGGGCCCATCATGTGGGGTAGCTTCTCAGAGCGCTAAAATAGCTATGAAGTGAATGACCACTTTTATTTGGGAGAATTTGTTGGCCTGAACACGGGGAGAAACCTCATTCTCTTTTTGAATAGCATCTTGGGATGGTTAAGGTTCAGTTGATCAGGCAGACTGAGCCTTGATTTAACACCTCGTTTAAAGAATTTCATCTCTGACAATGCAGTGCTCCCCCAGTACTGCACTGGAGTGTCAGCCTAGACTGTGAGCTCAAAGTCCCAACTTGGGGCTAAACCTGACGCAGCTCAGAGATCGGTGTCATTTCTGAGCTTTGAGCTTCACGTATGCATGTTACTCTCCAGTTGCTTGCCCAAATGGTCAGACATTGCATCTTCAGGACTAGCCTCTTCCATGCCCAGAAGATTGATTGCGCATACATTCCTTTCTCAAATCCAGCACTGCTGGAACCCTTACGCCTTTATCATCTCTAGGATCAAATTTCTAATTTCTCTTTGCTGTTTTCCCAGCTCAATGTCATTTTAAACGTCAAGGTCAGGCACGCCCAAGAATTACAATTCTTGCCAAGTTATTACGTTTCACTGGCTCCCTGTTCCTCAGCAAATAGATTTTAATATCCTTATTCTTAGTTTCAATCTTTACAAAGCTGCATTCCCCCTATCTGTCGAAGCTTCTCCTACATCAGAGACCACACTTTGGCTGTGATGGCTCTGGCTCTGCACTGCTCATTCTGCTCCACCGTCGTGAGTTTCATAATGTAGTGGTTAGAGCACACACCTCACAAACGAGAGGACCTGGGTTCGATTCCTGGGCAGAGCAAAATCTTAGGCAAGTTTCCTTACTCCATACACCTCTGTTTATCTAGCAGTAAGTAGGAACCCAGTTGTTAGTCAATCGGCGCATGATTTTGCACGGGTGATAATCCTTGCCCCCAAAACAAATTGGTCACTCAATCCACGACTGTTTGTGGGACACTGCTGTGCACAATTGGCTGCTATGTTTCACCCACAAAATATATAGTCAATTCACTTTATAATCTGTGAAGTGTTTTGAGACGTCTCAATGACATGATCAGGTGCTATATCAAATGCAAGGACTATTATTATTATCAAAGGCCAAACCTTCTGCCACCACTTTGCTTTACTACTGTTCTATTTTCAAAAATTAAAGGTCTTTTTTTTTTTGCCGTGATCTCATGCCTCCAATTTCCTCAAGCACTCTGGGACGCTACCCCGCGTGAAGGGCACTATATAAATGCAAGTTGTTGTTGTTACGTCTTGCCTGACAACTCCTCAGCCTGCGTCCTCTTCCAAACCAGGAACTGTGCACACATCACCCCTCGTTCAGCTCCATTGGCTTCCTATCTCCCAGCATATCGAATTCAAATCCTCAATCTCACTTTCAAATCCCTCCACAGCCTTGCCCCTTTTGGAAGATCCTCTGACCCGACTGTCCCAGCCATTCCTTCTACTCAACAAACACCAGCCTCCTTTAACCATTCTACAACTGCTCTCTGAAACTCTTTCAAGGAAGTTTCTGCTCCCCTCTCCCCTCCCTTCCCTCCTCCCCACCATTAAAACTCACCTTAAGATCTGTATTTTCTATTGTACTTTCGGACAACTTCCTGGTTTTCACAGGTGTTGGTTCACTTTTACTGCCCTTTCCATTTCATGTAATGTTATTCCTCCTTTTTGTAACGTGCAATTAGTGTGAAATTCAAAAGGGGAGTTTTAAAAGTCTGAAGAATAGTTACGGTAGAATAGTTGCATTTTATTTAAATGTAACAACAAAGAATCAGTAATAATGACTGTATTTTAATGAATACAAATTTCCTAGCTGTCTGCTCAATTTAAATTGCAGTCATGTGCCACCTAGTGACAGATCAGTCAAGACAAACTTCTCATTATATGATCTTCATAGGGATATGAAATGAATGGCATTTCTGAGTACACCCCAGTGCAGGGACTATTGAACATGAGCAACCTACTTTGTGATTACTATGTGTCATAGACACAAGAGGTCTGGATATAATTCCACATATAGGAACTGCTACAATGTTAAAAGGAAAAAATTATATTGTGAATTGAGAAAGAGAAATTATAGAGACGTATAAAACAATTAATTGTTGGGGGAAATTTGTTTCTTATATCTTGGAGTCTAAATTAAGGTGTTTTGAACAACAACAAGTTGCCTTTATATAGTCCCTTTCACGTCAGGAGGACGTCCCAAGGAGGACGTCCCAAAGGAACTAAGGAATCTGGAAGTATGTCAAACTAGCTCATGGGAACTCTGCTCTGATGAAGTATTTCTAGTTACCAGTGTTAATTATCATATTGTATATCACATTGTTCACTGCTTTTTAAAAAATATATATTTGATAAAAGCAACTATCTGTGATGTTGCACTAAACAATAAAGACCAGGATCATTGCAGGATCGATACCTGGTCCGATCTGAATCAGCTGACTTTAGCTGAGATAGTCAAAGGGGGGAGGGCATTGCAATTGGTCTCGGTGTGTCTGAGCTGGGTGAAGAGTAAACATCAGTCAGTTCCTGCTCATGATCACATGCCGTAATCTCTGCTGGAATGTATTTATATGCATATTGATGACAAGATCAGACTCAGCTTGGCACTTGGCCTAAGAATGAGAGGACTGTCAGCCACTGTTGAATGGCATCCCAGAATTTGACAGATTCTTAAATAAAGCCTTCATTTCTGAATCTGGTTTTCTGTAGGTTAAGAGTTTCAAAAAACTAATTTCAAAATTAGGACTGAGAATCCAAACCAAGCTGAGATTTCAATGCATCCCACCGACACATGGAAATTACAGAGATAGGTTGTTGGAATGGAATGCGCACTCTCTCCCTGGAAGGACACATCCTGCTTACCTAACTCCGGAGACTATTAGGCGCAGGTTGGCAAGAGCCAAGGCTTGGGGACCCTAGACTGTGCGTTGGGAAACTGCTGGAGTCTAACCAACTAAAACCGTATAGCCAGGCGAGCAGGTCAAACCTACAGAGCCAGTTTTACAAAGCATTCGTGAGTGAGATAAATTCCACCAAAGTATTTGTTCAGGTGTGGCTCAGCTTCATAGTGATCCAAGAGGGGATGTTAATTTTCTCATGTGATTTGCAATGTTGTTTTGAAGGCTGACAGCTCTGTCTCGTTTATTTCAGGCACATGCTAAGGCATGGCACACCTATGACACTCATTTTCGCAAATCACAAAAAGGGTTTGTATCCTTGGTGCTGGGATCCCATTGGATCGAGCCAAAGACAGCAAGTGTCAGCTATGAACATTTCCAGACTTTGATGGACCAGGTGCTGGGATGGTTTGCCAAACCAATCTTTGTGGATGGTGATTACCCTGACAGTTTCAAGAATGAAATCAACTCTCCTACTTTCACTGAAAAAGAAAGGAACTACATCAAAGGAACAGCGGACTTCTTTGCATTCTCTTTTGGGCCAGATAATTTCCGATCTCTGAACCACCTGGTCAGCCTAAGACATCATGCATCTCTCCACCTTGGTCGGGTCCTGAATTGGATAAAGTTAGAATACAATGACCCCAGGATTCTCATTGCTGAGAATGGCTGGTTTTCCAACAGCCATGTTAAAACAGAAGACACCACTGCTCTATACCTTATGAAAAAATTTGTAAATGAAGTGTTACGAGGTGAATATAATTTATGTTTAATCTCTCTGGGTATCCATCACAATTTCTCTGTTTGTCCATTGCACCTTCTCTGTCTATTACATTGTCTGTTTCTGTCTTTCTGATTGTCCATTACAACCTCCGTCTATCAATTATAAACTGTCTGTCTGTTTGTCTGTCTGTCTCTCTGTCAGTCAGTCTCCCTGTCAGTCAGTCTCTTTGTCTGCCTGTTGTTTTACTTAAATGAAACAATTAAAATGACTATTGATGTCAACCAGTCAACCTGGCTCATCAGCAGGATTTGGAGGTTCCCACTGGGAACAGGGGTTCTTCCCACTTAGCACTTGTTACCCATATAAGACAAAGCCCTAATGGTTAGGGCAGTCCGAGTTGGCCATGCAAAGGGCAGCTTTCTCGATGTACTCAATGATAATCAGTACTGTTTTAGCTGGTTAATGGTAAACCAAGCTGGAAAACCAAGTGTAACAATCGTACATAACACCCCAAAAGTCCACGAAACTTGCTTGTAAAATATTATGTTAAGAAATCTTTATGGGATGTTTTCTTGGGACTTGTCCTGAAGGAGGGAGGGGTGCAAAATTGGAGGAAGGCCTTCCGCACTTGTTAAAATTCATGGTNAAAAAAAATCATGTTGTAATGTTCCTGTACTGCCATGTAAAAAAACTCGCCCAGAATCACAGTTGATCAGTGTTAATGGTAAATAATTAAGCATGTGACTAGGAAGCTGGTATATACAACAATGTTATATTTTCCGGTGCCTGATTCATCATTTATTCTGTTTTATTTATTTTCTTTCTGTTTAGCTATCCGCTTCAATGAAGTGAATGTATTTGGTTACACTGCCTGGTCGCTGCTGGATGGTTTTGAATGGCAGTACGGCTACAAGATTGCGAGGGGGTTGTTTTATGTGGACTTTAGCAGTAAAGAGAAGTCCAGGATCCCCAAATCCTCCGCTTTATTCTACAAACAGATTATAGAACAAAATGGTTTTCCGCTAACTGAGATCACCCAGCATGTGCATGGAACATTTCCCTGTAACTTCTCATGGGGAATTGCAGACACAGTGCTGCAGGTGAGGAGATTGCCTCATTTTGGAATTATATACTGTATCTTCTTAAATTGTTCCTAAATGTTTGATCACTCTCATGGACCTAGAGTTAGCAATTAATGTTTGTCTGGCGAGAGAAACTATAAGGACCTTTTGCAGAAGTAGAGATAATTTCAGTGCCATCAGTGGTGACAAGATAAACCCTCAGCCCTCCATTATCCTGTAGGAGAAAGTGAGAATGTGTGACATTTGTTTTACTAAGGTGATATAGCAGATGTCTCAAAGCGCCTCACAGGATATATTGTAAAGTAGATTGGCTATGTATATAGTGGATTAAGCGCTGTGGGACGCTATTCTGTGTGAAGAGTGCTATATAAATGCAAGTTGTTGTTGGCATTGTGAAACACAGCAGTCAATTTGCAACCAGTAACATCCCACAAATATGGAGTGATGATCAATTTTATTTTGGGGATTGTTGGCCAGGACAGCGGGAGAAACTCCCATCTCTTTTTGAATAGTGCCGTTTAACATTAACAGACAGAAGTCTTAGTTCAACGTCTCATCCGAAGGATGGGGTGAATTAGCCTGAATTCCTGCTCCTGATCACTATACAGTGCTCTTTGCTGAAAACTGCATCTAGTTTGCACCAAAAAATGGGTCACTCACTCCATGGCTGTTTCTGAGACTCTGCTCTGCACAATTGGCTGCCGTGTTTCGCCCACAAAATACTCAGTCAATCCACTTTACAGTATATCCTTTTTGATTGAATGGATTGCTGACACTCATAGTCAAGACTCACAAATAAATAATGACTACTTGGCCACGGGGAATGGGGGTGGGGTGAGGGGGCAACTGGTGCCTGTGAAACTCCAGGATAATAAAACTGTAATCACAACATCATGCAGAGAGGAAGGGCAGGCAAGAAAATTTGGAAGCAAATCAAAAGCAAAAATTGAAATATCTGAAAGGAGAAGCAAATTCAGGCTTAAAAAAACAAATGTGATAAGTGGATCCAAAACTCCAACTGATATGCTGTTTGTTTTTTGATTGTGGCAGGTAGAAATGTTGCCCAGCTCCCCTCAATTCATTGATCACAACCTTTACATGTGGAACGTGACAGGAAATGGGGCTTTACACAAAATCAAAGGAACGATGATCAAGCCTCGTCCATCTCAGTGCACTGACTTCAGCAGTCTGAAGCAACATGTGGCATTGGTGAGGAAACTGAAAGTGAGTCACTACAGCTTTGCCCTTAAGTGGTCCCAGATATTACCACATGGAGATCTGTCTACTGTCAACAGAGACGTTTTGAGGTATTACAGATGTGTTGTTAGTGAACTATTAAAACTGAACATCGTCTCTACCATTATTTTGTATCATCCAACGTATCAAGACATTGATTTGCCTGGGCCATTGCTGAGAAATGGAGGGTGGCTCAACAGATCTACCGCCCTCGCTTTCAATGATTACGGAAACTTGTGTTTCCAGGAATTTGGTAACTTGGTCAAATTCTGGATCACTATGAATGAACCCAACATAAATATTCAGAGGAGCCTCGATGCCTATAGGGCAGCACACAACATGATCATTGCACATGCACTGACTTGGCATAAATATAACAAAGAGTATAGGCACCAGTATCATGGTCTTGTGTCCCTGGCATTACGTGCTGACTGGGCAGAAGCAGCAAATCCCTACTTTGGGACTCACATAACTGCTGCTGAGAGGTTCCTCCAATTCCAAATAGCTTGGTTTGCGGACCCCATTTTCAAGACAGGCAACTATCCAGTTGTAATGAGAGAATATATCCTCCACAAATATAAGGAACATCTCTCGAGCTCTTCCTTGCCACACTTCACGGACGAAGAAAAGCAGATGATTAAAGGAACTGCTGACTTTTTTGCCATCAATCATTTTACCACAAGGCTCATCTTACACAAACCTAAAAATGGAAGCAAGTATCAAACAGACCATGACGGAAGTTTGCTAAGAGACGCGACACTACTGAGATTCCACTCCCCCTCCCATTCCTCCTTCCCCTTCCTCTCCCACCCTGAGATGACAATTGCACCCTGGGGAATACGTAAAGTGCTGAACTGGATCAAATCGAACTACGGGAATGTGGACATTTACATCACGGCAAATGGGGTGTCCGACAAATCTACCCTGAAGGATGAACTCCGAATCTATTACCACAAAAATTATATCAATGAAGTTTTGAAAGGTGAGGCTTACTGCATATAAATTAAGTAATTAAGTGGAAATCCAGTTGTTAGTCGATTAGCAGATCGTTTTCTGGGGGTAATAATTCCTCAAAAAAAAATTTGGTCACTCAGTCCACGACTGTTTGTGGGAGACTGCTGTGCACAATTGGCTGCTGGGCTTCACCCACAAAATACACAGTCAATCCTCTTTACGATATATTCTGTGAAGCACTTTGAGACATCTCAATGACGTGATAAGGCACTATATAATAATAATAATCCTTGCATTTGATATAGCACCTTATCACGTCTTCAAAGCCCTTCACAGAATATACTGTAAAGTGAATTGATAGTATATTTTGTGGGCGAAATGCATATATCAAATGCAAGGATTATTATTGTTACTATTAATAAGACGTATGATATATGATTTATTGCCCAAAAGTGAGCCAGATGTTTAAAATCAGATAGAATTAATTGGTGAAAATATGATTTTTCATTTGTTACATTACTCTCTGGTTCAAATGCAGTCTAAATTTTGCACTATATTACATTTTTAAGATGACTCTTACTGATGCTCTTGGGTGTGGCTGGAAGAGGGCAGGGAGTCACAGAGTGAGGATAATGCTCTTACTCATAAGGAAAGAGCAAGCAAAAATCAGAATGTGAGGGAAACCTGTGCTCTCTCGTACAATTTATAGAACCTATTTATAGACTACTATTGGCAAAGGACTGGAACAGACACGCGACTACCGTAGGAGCCTGGGAATGCTTTATGTCAGGTGGTCCAACCTTTTGGCTGCTGAGGGCCGGACGCCCTATTTGAGAAACGTCCGCGGGCCATTTGCAATACTTTTGTGTTTCCCTTCCAGAAACATAACACAACATTTATGGATTATAGAGGGAGAGGGTGGGCCAGATTAAATGGATGGAGGGGCCAGATGGATCACCCTGCTTTATGTGATCGGGAAAATGATAACAAAAATGAGTCAATTTATTATAAATATCTGTACAGTATTTATTGTGAAGCCAATGTTACTTTGTGTTCACAGCACAACTATTCGACCAAGTCAATGTCAAGGGCTACTACGCTTGGAAATTAAAGGATACAGAGATACATGTGCCCTTGGTTGGATTCTTCATTGTTGCTAACTCTGGATTGAAACCCAAGACCTCAGTGGAGTTTTACAACAAACTTATCAGAAACAATGGCTTTCCTTCGGGAGATGCAGACAACCAATGTTCCACAGACAGACAGATACATTGTGAATGGTGCATTCTTATCTTAAAGAAAAAACCTTTGATGTTCTTTGGAGTCTGTATCCTTTTCACCGCAGTAATGTTCGCTGCAATCATCATCATTCACAAAAGAAAGCGAAGAAAAGCCTTTTGCTAAATTAGTCACCGTAACAGCAAAGTCCAACTGCAGAAAGGGACTTCTTCCCCCGGGGACTAGTTGCTGCAGCACCATCATGCAGAACGTTGTGCTTTCAGCTGTAAAACTACCTCTTTTCACAATTAGATTTCCAGCATGAAGTGTTAGAAAAAAGAGGGGAAATGTGGTTTTGCTGCAGCTTGATGCGTATATTAAAGATAAAATGAAGGGCTGACAGATTCAACAAATGCACTCCAGTTGTGGGATGTTGCTGGATTCTGAACTGTTTACTGGGATAAATGCATTTAAGAAGTTCCCAACAGAGCATCTTACCTGTGTACTGGTGGATTACGTTTAATATTTTATTGCTTTTTTTCCTCTGTTCTGTACATTCCTGTCACCACAAGCACCCATATCCAAGAACGGGGGTTGGGTGTGGGGGGTGGGGGGGTGGGGGGCAGATAGTTTGAGCTACAGATTTGTCCACAACCACTGTTCCATGCAGAAAATACAGACAGCAGAGGGACCCTAGAGATGACAGAATTTCAGTTTGTAGGCAGTTTCTCAGCAATCAAAAGAAACGTGGTCTGAAATGCTATAATCACAAATCATAGTGGCTGATTGTAACTGCCTGTTTGCAAATATCATATTGCAAGATTTTCAAAATGACTAATCCCAAGACACGAAAGTCTAAAAACAAACCTGACAAGTAAAATGGGATAAGGAAATTAAAGAATGAACCTGACAAACCATTCCCAATGTTTGGCTGGCATACAACAACAACAACAGAGCATTTTATCTATGTACTAGTGGAATACTTTTAAGCTGGTTTGCAAGTATTGCATTTTTGAACCCAATGTGAACACTGGAAAGTAAATATACTAACATTTAGAAAATATAAATAAGGACGTGAAGACAAAGACAGCACGTGAGACATAGAATTACAATTTATAATCTACCAATGGCTCAAGTGAAGTAATGTTTCCTATCCCCTCTCTACCCATTTTCTGTACTTATCACACTGACTGATAGAGCAGGTCTATTATACTATGTTGATAGAATATAACATGATAAAAAGAGTGATACGCAATATGATTTTTGTAATTATAAGATTCATTCTCTCTGATATGATAATCTTAAACTTTGATTGACATGGCAATCTTAAATTTTCATTGCCATGTGTGTCCGCCTAATTGATAGCTAGCACTCTCGCCTCTGAGAATACGTACAAATGAATCAGTATTTGGATACTTCAGGTTTGCTAATTACATGTAAACCCAAGACTTCAATTGAATTTTATAACAAATTTGTCAGTAACAACAGCTTTCCTGGGAGAGCATCAGATAAACAGTGTTCAACAGATGGAACATTGAACTGTCCTGGATGTGGTAGAAACCTTTGATGTTATTCAGATTGTGAGGTTGTGGTCGCATGGGTTGGAAGAGGTGCCCAAACCTGGACACAAGCCTCTAACTGAAGTCCAATGACTAATATAAGTTAGGTATTATCCTTTTGTTTTTATATGCTAGATATTGTATAATATAATATATCCATATTTATATTATAAAATATAAGATCCCATTAGCTTTCTTCAGTTAGTCCACTTACCTTCCCACCTTTAAAGATTGATGTGTTAATCCCTGGATCTTTCTGCTTTTAACATTTTACCATTTGGTAAATACTTATTCTCCTTATTCTTCTTTACGAAATTAATAACCTCAAACTTTTCTAAATTCACTTTAATCTCTCATCTCTCTGCCCAATGTATTAGTTTATCAATATCCTCCTGAAGTTGCTTATTCAGTTTTTTTTACTGCTAGTAACACTCCCTATTTTTGTGTCAATTGCAAATAGAAATTGTGCCCCTTATATCAGATCCCAAATCATGTATATAAATGGAGAAAAATAGTGATGCTAACACAGACCCTTGGGGAACGCCACCATTTATATCTTTCCATTCCAAATAACAATCTTCTATCCCCACTTTCTGTTTCCTATTCTTTAACCCACTTTCTAACCATGCTATCACATTTCCATTTATACTGTGCACCTCTTACCAAATGGTTTCTGAAAATCCATGTGTAGTTCATCAGCTCGCAATTATTTCAATGAACTGTCAAATCTGTCAAAGCAAGCCTCTTACAATCCGTGTTGATTGTCGTTCATCAACCCATGTCTTTCTAAGTGATTATCAATATTATCCTGTGTAATGATGGCTAAAACTTTGCTATTTTCATCATGTATTTTTTCGTACTACTTCCGTTTTTTATAGATATCCCTCCAAATTTCTACACATCCTCTTGTATATGCTCAATTTATCACTGTCACATTCTTCTGTAAAACCTGAAACAAATATTCATTGTCTACTCCACACCTTCATTTCCATTAGATTTCACTTTGTGCCTCTAACTGACCCTATCTTTTCTTTCAACTATTGCTTTTCATAAAATCCTTTAGATATTTTCCTTGATATCTCTTCAAATCTCCTTTGCTTCACCTTATTTTCTATACTCTGCCTAATTTTCTTATGTATTATAATCTTTAGTTTCTTTGGGTATCTCTTTCAAGTCTTATTTCGTTTTCATTTTACTAGTCATCCATAGGACACATCTCAGTCTATAAATATAACTTAATGAATCCGGCTTTAATGATATAGTAGCAGAGACTCTTGGAAAGAAATGTTTATGTACTGTACATACTTAGCTATTTACGTATATACAATAGTACACTGTATTTTGAAAACGCAATTTTTTAAAAAAGTTATTGTAAACTGTGGATGATAAATTTCTTGAACATACGAAATCACATAATTTATTAATATAATCATTAAACATTCTGCATATTATATATTTTCATGTCAACTTATTTAAAGGGAATTTCCTAACTTTGACATTTTAAAGTTTTAAGAACCATTTTAATATTTATAATTTTTTTTCAGTGATCATCAGGCATCTAAACAACTAACATTCCAACTGTTCGAGTTATAGAATGCTCTAATAACAAAATAGAATAAAATATCTCTTTCCTACTCACTCATGAAGAACTTGTATTCATATTACCGCCCTTCATGTAGGAAAGGCCTCCGAGTATTATAAGAAAACCTCAAAATCACCAGAAGACAGTCATAAATGGGTTATGATAAATGTTCTTTGTAAGTGAATACATTTTTACAGACAAGAGCAAAGCCGATTTGGTCTTAGCAGTATAGAAATGTGGAACGGATATCTTGATTTATACCACTCGCTTGTGGCTTTGAATTGGGTCGGAAAAAAATAGCCATAATTTTGAATTCAATGCATGTCCTTAGACCAGCTAAGAACAGTGCGATTGCCAATCACACAGGTAAGAATTACCCTCTTCCAAAACGGTGTCCTCCTAATGAAACCATTTGTACAGAATCTGTGACTTGCCATTAACATGCAGTACGCATGCCAATTCATAGAATCTATTGACGTTGACATTACGTACCTGGATATAAGCTGCTGCATCTTCCAAATTAAACAGAAGTGACTGGTTTTAAAATAAAAAGCAAAACAAATAAAATAGTGATGCTGCATATGAGTGGAGCATGGGAGAGGACAAAGCCCACTCACCCACTGCAGAATAAATCGCTGTCCAACTGCAAATCCAGATGGTGAGGATCTGTATAGAGGTGACGAGTAGATGTTTGATTGGCATCAGCTTCTGGGCTATCCTAAGAATCTCCATGAAAACATAAAACATTTGTAAGCATTTTTCCACTTAGAAATACGGCTTTATGTCAAGTTGTATGTGGCAATATCATTACTAAAACCACTCCCCAAACATATGAACAAAGTGATTTGGGTGTTAAGCTCCTCATAAAATATTGTGCTGTTCAATTCAGGATAACTTCAAGATGATTCACTGAACATTATCCCATTACTAAGTTTGGATGAGCATCAAACTTGGAACTAAAAGTTTCTAATTGTGTCATCCTGTCAGTCTACTCAGCACCTTTCAAAGTTAATAAAGTAAACTGTCTAAAAATATCCTCCATGGCCTTGCTCCTCCCTACCTCTGCTACCTTCTAACCCCCTATCAACCTGCCCACTCCCTGCACTCAGAGGGCTCCAGTCTGCTTCACGTCAGCATCTACTTCCTTGGGTTTTCTTGAAAAGCCGTAAAGGTTACAATAAAGTAAAGAATTGTTAATCCCCACTGGCTCTTCAAATCCTTTAATGCCCTCACACCTCCTACTTCTCCAACCGATTTACTCCTCAATCCACTACCTCCACTCAATTGGCCTCCGTTCCACCATCAGAGACCTCACTTTCAGTCACTACACCTCGAAACTCTGTAACTCTTCCCTCAATCCCTCCACCTTGGCCCCTCCTACCGTACCTTCAAATCATGCCTGATCATGCTTCGTCATATCCCCCATCCCTACAGGTCAGCATCGAGCTCTCTGGGAGACTACCCTATGTGAGAGGTGCTAATATAAATGTAAGTTACTGCTTTGGATAGCTGACCAACATCTCTGGACTTGAGATTTGGAGGTAATTATTTTCAGTCTTGATAGGGCAGTCCAAGTAGGAATTATAGAATAAGATACATTTAAAATTGACAAATAAAATTCAACTCAGACACTGCATCTTTAAAGTATATCCTGTGAAGTTCATTGAGATGGACTTGACTGTCATGAAAGGAGCCAAGGATTTCTTATTATACTTTGCATAAAATTTGATGTTAGACCTGCTGCCTGTGCAGCACACATCAAGTCACCTCTGTGCAAAACAAAATTACACTTGTATAGTCTTTCACATCAGGAAGACATCCTCAGGCGCTTGGACAATCAGTGTTTTCGAACCCGAGCTATACACAGTGTGGTGACACAGCTCTATACACAGTGTGGTGACACAGCTCTATACACAGTGTGGTGACACAGCTCTATACACAGTGTGGTGATACAGCTCTATATACAGTGTGGTGACACAGCTCTATGTACACAGTGTGGTGACACAGCTCTATACACAGTGTGGTGATACAGCTCTATATACAGTGTGGTGACACAGCTCTATACACAGTGTGGTGATACAGCTCTATACACAGTGTGGTGATACAGCTCTATATACAGTGTGGTGATACAGCTCTATATACAGTGTGGTGACACAGCTCTATGTACAGTGTGGTGACACAGCTCTATACACAGTGTGGTGACACAGCTCTATACATAGTGTGGTGATACAGCTCTATATACAGTGTGGTGACACAGCTCTATTACAATGTGGTGATACAGCTCTATATACAGTGTGGTGACACAGCTCTATACACAGTGCGGTGACGTAGCTCTATTACAATGTGGTGATACAGCTCTATACACAGTGTGGTGACACAGCTCTATATACAGTGTGGTGATACAGCTCTATACACAGTGTGGTGACACAGCTGTAT